AGGGTCAGGTACCTGTGAGGATGATTTCAGGCTCAGGTACCTGTGAGGATGATTTAAGGGTCAGGTACCTGTGAGGATGATTTAAGGGTCAGGTACCTGTGAGGATGATTTAAGGGTCAGGTACCTGTGAGGATGATTTAAGGCTCAGGTACCTGTGAGGATGATTTAAGGCTCAGGTAAGTGTCAGGGTAATTTCAGGGTCAGGTACCTGTGAGGTCAGCTTTAGGGTAAATGATCAGGGTTAGGATATAAAATGAGCAGAAGACGAATGAAAGCTAATCCACGGTCCTCACAGGGATGTAAAAAGCACTTGTGTGTTTGCTGTGCTTCACTCTGACTGAGGCACTGAAATGGACGGTCCTTTGGGGTCGTCGAAGCGGTCCATGGTGTTGACCTGCAGGATCATGTGCAGGCCGTACACTAAGATGAGCAGCATGAGCAGGGAGCTGAGCAGGCCCATCCAGATGCCAGCACTGAAGAAGCCTGCACAGTCACTGGCGTAGGAGAAGGTGGTTCCATTGGACAAGCTGAAGCCCTGGATCTGATCAGGAAACAAGTTGGTAAACTGTAGGTTTTAATAAGCAGCACTTATTCTTCAGGATCATTTCAGCTCCTGTTTACCTGGAAGTCAATAAAGTTGAGTCTCCAGTCCTGTGTTTGGTCAGTGGTGGTGTTTGGAACCAGCAGGGCGTCGTGGAAGCTGCTGACGGAGCCACAGTGGAAGGAGTACTCTGCAGGGGCGTAGATGTTGCTCCTCCCTATGAAGGACTGACTCGTTCCGTTTATCTGCAGCTGCACAGAGTCCAGAGTGAACCAGTGACGTGCAGACACTGGGTAGAACTGCCGAGTCATCGCAAAACTGCACAAGAGAGAAGAGCAGTTAGTTCAGCGTTTAGGAAAAAGTGTGGTTTTTCTTTGTTCCAGGAACAAACTGTACTTTAAAACATGTAAATACCTCACATTTCATCTGCAGTGTTGAACATCAGGAACAAAGCCTCACTTACTACATTATTTACTACATTATTTACAAGCTAACTTACAGAAAAATAAACCTGGACATTTCTAAAGGATAACATCAGGAATTAGACCACAGCTGCAGAAGAGCTGTTAAAAAACTAATTAAAACATTCATGCAGCTGTGGGCCGTTAAACATCAAGTGAGCATCACCAAATGATTTAAATACAATTAACTGCTAATGAACTGTTTTCACCTTATTTATTGACAAAACAATAAGAAACAGTGAGAAATGAATCAAAGTCTCACAGTTATTGTTCTTATAAACCAGTTATTGTTCTTATAAACCAGTTATTGTTCTTATAAACTAGTTATTGTTCTTATAAACTAGTTATTGTTCTTATAAACCAGTTATTGTTCTTATAAACCAGTTATTGTTCTTATAAACCAGTTATTGTTCTTATAAACCAGTAAATCTGACGACACAAGTTTCTGCAACTGTTACTTTAAAAAGTTTGAAAAGTACTGGATCAAGGCCCGGCTGTGGCTCAGTGATTAGGGGAGTGGTCTTCTGACCAGAGAGTTGGAGGTTCAATTCCCCACTCTTCTATCACATGTCCAAGTGTCCCCGAGCAAGACACTGAAGCCCCACCCACCCTGTGATGTGTCCCATCAGTGTGAACAACTGATTTATCTTGTCTTTGTAAAGTGTTACAGTTTATCTTTTTATTTATTAAACAAACAAACAAACAAGCAAATAAATAAATAAATAAATAAATAAATAAATAAAATATAAACTAATAAATAAATATTGTTATGGTTGCTCACTTCTTATGTCCATTATTTCATCATAAAGTCAGAAATGACTGTAAACACCACACAAACACATGGCAGCTTTGAAAAAGCCTTCTGAATGTGACAAACACACGAGTGTAAATGTTCAAACTGCAGCCAAAGGTCAAAGGTGAAACATTTTAAAAAACTCACAGCAAGTCTGGATCCTTGAACATAAATAAAAACAGTTGGGTCTGGACTCTTTCACAGCTTTAAATGTTACAATATGTGGGACAGTTGTTTACATGAAAAATGATCTTACCTCAGTCTGTATCCTGATGCATAAGTAAGCACCAGCCTAAAAAAGAAAACATGTAAAGGTTTTAGTTTAAAACTAAATGAATGAAATGTTGACAGCAGCAGGCAGAAAGAAGACCACCCTACAGGGAGCTTTGGTCGTTACACATGGACCCGGTCAGGTCAGGACTTTCTGTAAACAGGTCGACCCAGACTGCACCACCGGAGGTACTGATGTACAGGTTCTGAGCCCACAGCATGATACACACAGATGATCCGTTCAGAAACATGATGGGTGCTGGCACAGGACCAGCAGTTTGTAGTAAGGACCGGCCCACTTGTTGGTGGGACACAGACGCTTCAGAAATCACCTGCAGAGAAAAACAAATGTTCTCAATAAAAGTTTGAGTCGAACATGCTGAGTGTTTCTGATTAATTTTTATTTTGTCTTTAGTTTTTTGCAACATATGGAGGTGTTTGGGGCTGTGTATATGTGTGTGTGCATGTGTGTATCATGGAGGTATACAGGTACAGTATATAACACCTGGAGTGATCAGAAACCAGGTGACCGTGTGATCGGCTGGTGAAGCTAACGGCTAACGCTAAACGGTCAAGACTCTGGATTTATCATTACTGTACATGTTGACAACAGAGCAGATAAAAGGACTGATGATGTACAAATCATTAAAACTATTAATAATAATATTAACCCAATTTTTATTAATATTTTACAGTTTATATAATCTATCTAATGTTTTAAATAATGTCAGAAAAGCTGTTTGTGTTCTGGATTTATTAACAGAAGATAAACAGGAAAACGTCTCGTTTGTAGCGTGACGTGAATCCTTTCATCAAGCAGAGACAGGTGTAGTTTCTGTTAACTCCACCTTCTCATCCTGCCTGGAACAGCTCAAAGTTGAACAAAGATTTTTTCTCCTGTTGTCTCATCTGGTCCTTCAAACAACGACACTCAGACTTCCTGTCGCCAGGTGACCTGATTATCACCTCTTTCAAAATAAGACTGGAATAAACATTTGTTTGACATTAAAAAGACCCCTTATGATGCACAACAATTTTGGATCTGGCGTTCCCTCGCCCGGACGCGGGTCACCGGGGCCCCCCTCTGGAGCCAGGC